CAGAGGAATTTAGCCGGCGTTTTCATCAATTATATGACAAACACTTTAAGGACACACTCCTGCAATTCGCGAAACCTATCTATGCGTTCCGTCTTGCACCCTCATTAACGGAATATCTAGTAAAGAAAAGACCACCAAAGGAAATCATTAATGTAACACTGAAAGAGTAATAAAATCGAGTTATATAGTTGCGTGTACCAGAGCAGTCCTTACAGTTTTTATACGAAAAACCAAGGATTAAGGAATAAAGAGCCAACGGGAGAAGAAAAATGTTTATCTCATCCCACATCTCATTTTTTACCTTTTAGAAAATGAAGATACTTTCGCACGAAGCACTTAGAGTACAACAAGTAGTTCTATACGGATGGCTCCAGAGAATGTCTGGACGAATGAAAAGACGCCGAACAGTTATGTACGGACGAGTCGAGAAGCAACAATGCCGTGCCAGAAAGAAATTAACGCGCCTGATGTTAGAAAGAACCAAAGGACTAATAGCAGTAATGCACTTTAAAATGACACTGTTAAAAACAGACTGCACCAAGGTATATTTAGTATACCATGCACGACGCGCATACGCCTAACGAAGATTAACGTTGTTCTTGTACACTTAATTCATTCAAGGAAAAAAAAAAAAAAAAAAAATTTTCTTTTTTTATCGTACAGGAACACAACCTCGATTGATTCAGTTTTAATAACACACCGGTGGCAGCTAGGATATTCCTCCACATTAGCTCGACCACCTGTTGCCGTTTCAGCATACGGCCGCGGTGGACAGTACGCTCCCTCTTCATCGAGCGTATTTTTTCGTCAATACATGCTATTTGGCTTACATTTTTTTGCAACTTCCTACGCCAGTTGCGCGCTCTGTTGCGCTTGTATTTTCGCTTATGACCAGCCATTCGTACACTAGAAAGGTAAATTAAAAACCTATTATAGTGACACCCGTAACCGGCATATTATTCACGTATTTTTTAGATGTCTATTCTACAATTAATCGGCATAATGTTAATGTGGGAAATAGGAACCAGCATGAAAACGACATTAAGAAATCAGATGAAAGCAGGTAAAGAAAGAATCATACACGGAGGATCAGGAGTTACCTTCCTGTTAAAAGACCGATACCGAGAAGTAGAACGACTTCAAAGTTTCGCCTTGACAATACCCCTGACCCAGCATTTTTGTCACCTAATTCCACTAGATTTGTCCAAAAGTATACCTTTATGTACTGCGTATAGAAAATCATTGCTACGCACTATATTACCAGGTAACACACTCAGAGAAAACGTGTACAAAGCAGTCCTACAGAGTCCCCCAGAAGAAATAAACACAAGGCATAGACGATCACTACCGTTAATCTTCGGAGCAATTTCTATGTTCCAAAAAGTCGGTGCGTGTGACTATTTTTTGAATAACTTGAGAACACAAAGAGATAGAGACCTGCGGTTTTCACCATTCGATAGCAGACATCCGAGCGCACATTTTTGGTCAAGGAAAGTTTTGAAACAGATTTTTGAAAACCTGGTTTTTGAGAGGATCTCTGGAAAACCATGTCGCCAGGAAAACGTGTTCGGTAGAGACCGATCGATTTTTTTACATCAGTAGATAGCCTGGAGTGTTCGCTAAATGCAGGAACTCGAGCGAATCCTGTAGTTTCAATGGTTTCGGTAGCAGAGCAGTTTTTCTAAAACCTACGCTTTTACCATGAATAAGTACTACAATGGGCCAGAATAAATTGAAATATAGGTTTTCGATCGCACTCTATCATCTGCCAGTCTTATCTTTTCAGTTTTGAGAAGTTTTATCATTACTAAATGCAACGTAGCGCAGAGGACCGCAGTTACATTTACGAAATAAAGTGGTTGCAAAGGTGAGCAACGGAGAGAAAGTTGACAGTTATACTTGTGTAAAATCGAAATCGGTTTTAATCTTTTGTATGGATCGTATTATTCGTTACGAACTGTATTTATATGGTTTTCTTAAATCTGTACTAACTTCTCGTACAGCTTATATAATACTGAGTGGTGATACACTCGTGAGCAGTTAAATACCTGCACCACATTTGCACACTTGGCTTTTAGATATTAAAAAGTGTTTACATTTACTGTGGATCATTATGGCAAAAAAATTTTCACCAGAGACGAAGGAGATTATGCTCCGAGTTATTCGGTTTGTGAAGTCAGAAAAAGATGGTGTAAAAATTCCATTAAACAATGTTAATGATCGTTTGTGTGCTATGTTGGGCGTTTCATCTCGTTCAATTGATAATCTCAAGAAAGAATTTAAAGAAGCTGAAGAAGCTCACTCCGAGACACCACATAAGAAACTCCGATCACACTCCGATACGACAACAACTGTAAGAAATCGAACCATTTGATAACAACTATGGAGTTCTAAAATTATGAAATGATCTTATTTAGGATGTAACAATGACGTCTTCTTCTACGGAGAGTAACACATCTATCGGTCGTCCGAAATTAAAATTATCAGAATTTGGAAAAGACATGCTTAGATATGAGTTTCATCTTTTGTTGGCTGAGCGACAATATCCTACGTTGGATTTACTAATGGTCAGATTATTAGCTGATTTTCCTGATTTCCCGACGAAAAGTAACACAACTTTATCCAACCAATTAAAAGAAATGGGTATTGTATATCGTAAAACATCGACTATCAAAATACCATTGGAATCAACATATTTCATGTCACAAACAGCCAAATATTTTCGTCATATCGATGAACTGCGCACGGAAAAGGCTCTGATTTTCTATCATGACGAAACCTGGTGTTATTCCAATGAAGAAAAAAAAAGTATTTGGATTGAGGAGCAGACAGGACAAGGAAGACTCCGCCGCTCGGAAGGAAAAGGTACAGAAAAACAGCTAAACATAACTTAGATAAATTAAAAGAACTTTATTTCTGATATTCACCTAATGGTTCGGTTTACATTTAATGTTTGACAGGAACACGTCTTGCCGTTAATGGAATGCTTAGTCAGCACGGTTTTCATAAGTCATC